TTTATTTCAGAATTCTGGACTGTAGCCATTTAACTGTGATCCTGCAGTGAGACTGGGCTATGTGAAGCCCTAGGATTTATTCAGATTACACTAACATGATGTGCAATATGAAAGACTAGTAACATAAGTTGTTTTGTGTAGAATTAGCTTACTCTATTTACTCTAGGGCCCTGGGATTTATTGCATTATTTGGTCCATGATTTTTATTGCCAGCTCTACACAGCATTCTGACAACCTGTGTCTCTACTGCTCAAATATACCCATTGCCTCAAATACTCCTCACCTGAAAAATCTCCTCACAGTATTAATTCTGAGTTCCTCTGAAAAAGAGGAGGGTTGTAGGCCCCAGATGGACAAATAGTGAAATAACACTTGAGATTAGACTTTTAGTGGGAACCTACCCAACAGAAGTTTCTCACCATATAACAGGACCTCAACAAGTCTGCAAACCGCAGAGAAGCTCACTAAACCTCAAATCCCAGAGTTCCCTCCTCAAAGATGATGAAATCCAGACATTCAGTAGTTGAATGCCCAGTGGTTTTCTTCTCAGCCTTATTAACAAAGAGAACACTAAGAAAGTTCTCTTTGTTGCCTTCTTTTTTGGTGTGTCTTTTTTGCTTGTTTGTTTTCTGTTGACATGGCCTGAAAGAAAGGCACTGAAGATAGTTTGAAGACTTCATTTTAATTCTTCACAACACCTTATATCACCTTATACCACTTGATTATCACAAACTATGTTACTGTTTTTGGACTTCACTAAGCCTCAGTTTTACCAGTCTACAAAATGAGATGTTGCAGCTTTCCTTTTTCCAATATGGTTTTTTATGACCTATTGGATGGTTTGAGAGGTACATTAACTACTCCTGATCAGGAAAGACTTACTACACTTTAGATATTTAGTTTAATTTATGGTATTATGTTATACACTTTTGATATAATATGTTCAGTAGTGACATATGAAATATGTTGACAAGTACACTGGCACTGGAATGAAAAAACCTAAGCTGGTTCAATTTCTAGATTGTCTACCACTATTTATTTCTGACTCTGTGAGCTTAAATAGGTAACTTTACTTCTTTGCTCTTCATTAATTCATCAATAAATTGACTGTAAGAAAATTATGTTAATAAATATAGGAAATGACTAACATAAACACGTTAAAACCTTAATGGCTTAATACATCCGAAGGTTATTTCTTATTCATCGTGTTCAATATGGGTGTTTAGTGCAGCCTTCCACACAGTGATTCAGGGATCCAGGCTCCTTCCATCTTATATATTTGTCATCCCCTTTACTATCTGTAAAGGGACAGACAGCAAATATTTTAAGCATTACAGGCCATATGTTACAACTACTCAACTTTACCATTGTAGTACTGATATAAAAGCAGCCATTGCCAATATATAAATAAAGCAATGTGGTTGAGTCTCAATAAAACTTTATATATATAAACAGGCGGCAGACCAGGTTTGACCCACTGGTCATGGTTTTCAGACCCCTACACCAGGATATTGAATTCCTCTTCTGGATTCCTTATAACCAACTAGTTAGTGGGGGAAAATCAATGTATGGGGAATGCCCATGAGTTTTTAATGGGCCGAGCTTAAAAATAAGCATGTATCACTTCTTCCCATTCCATTGGCCCAAGAATGGGCATACATAACTCCAAGGAAGCCTGGAAAATAACTTGTGTTTACCCAGGAGAAAAAGAAAATGGGGTGCTATGAACTCATAACATTCTCTGCCAAAAACACTTTTTTCAATGGTTGTGGAGAGAGTCATATGAGATAATGAGTGTGAAAAACTACTTTGTACATTATAATCTGCTATGCAAACATAGAGTGCTATTGTTATTATAATTACTATATGTAATGTCTTTATGAATACCTTACCACCAGGGAGTGGTAGCCCCCTTGGAAAGAAGACAGTTTATGGATGTAAGAGACACTTGAAATTTTTGGATCAAGCAGACTCTAAAAATTATATTTAATGAGACAGGGCAGTCAGAGCCCTTTCCTCCAACTTGGGTGCCTTGAAATACACTGAAATTTCCTCTTCCTCCATGGTAGTAACAAGTTTTGTATGCATAGAAGCAATCACTGAAGCACTTTCCAGGTTACCTCAGTAGTTAGATTACTTGCTGTAAAACTGAAGTTTATTTATGATACCCTTCAATGCCAGAAACAATGAGTTGGAAATATAAAAATGAAGCTATCCATAATATTAACTAATTAACTAAAAATCCGTGCTTAATATTTTCCAAGAGTAAAGCAGTGTGCTGGGGAGATAGGACACATCAGAAAGCATATAAGCCAAGATAAAAACAATTCTCAGTGTGATCCCTTCAATCAAATTGTGAAGGTCTCACTTCTAAACTATTTAATGTGTGAGATCGGGTCATGGTACTTTTTTCAACAGCCTTCTCACAAAGTAGCATGAGCAGCGCAATTATTCCACTAATTTTAAAAGAGTTCTCTTCTGTTTGTGTCTTTTAAATGAATGAAACACAGAGAAAATGAAAATGCAAAAGATTAGAATTAATTATATTGAATACAGGATAAAGCAGGGATGATTCATTTATTTATTTAATTTTTAGCAAAGTAGCAAATTGAAGGGAATTCCTATGAAGCAATTAGCCATCCAACTTTTGTTATGTCAAACAAAGCAAGTGAATCAGACATTTGAAGGGGTTTATAAAGATCTCACAGACTGTTGGAGGTGGAGTGCAGGGGTATTTGGAGACCACTGTGTTGGCTAGTGGGGATGATGGTACCCAGTTGAGAGCTGTGACCTGGGTGGGTCTCTGTGTCTCCATATTATATATAATCTCCCCACTTCTAAATAGCTGGTGTTCAATGGATAGGGTATGCATAAGGCCCAGTTTGTTCGAGCCAGTCCAAGTTTACCCCTATTCTCCAGCACAACTATTAATAGTGCCCTCATTCACTCTCCAGTGTCCCCAGTTTGGACAATTCATTACATGGACAGGCTGTCAATGGATATGTGTTCATGGCTTGATGGGCAGAACTTGGAAAGATGACTGACACTCATGCCACCTCTTAACAGCCACGCCCAAGAGGCTTAAAACATCAAAATGCACAAATAACTGAGCACAGAGAAAGTAATAGGATCCACAGGCCCATAACTGAAGGTCTTACTGGTTATAGACATTTCCTTCCCTGAAACCTGGCCAGAAAGCTCCTCAGCAACAAGGAAATAGCCAATCAGCACTGATCTGTGACCTGCCACCACCCAAAAGAGGAGGCGAATTGTTATTTGAGAATCTGTATGAGCTTGGATCACCATTGCTAAAAACCTGGGCCTTGGCACCCAAAATAGCTTGTCCAAATTTATAAAAATTCAGTGCTCCTCATTTTGATCAGTAAAAATAATGTCTCTAGCTACTTATCAATTAAATCCTTATGTTTAACAAAGGTGAATTTTAGGGGTATTTGTTAATTGTCTCATGATTGATTTTAGGCTTTATTAATCATAATGATAAAATTTCATAGGGCAAGAGGTCAGAGTGAGCTTGGGCAACATCCAGTTCTACACGCTTCAAGATATAATACCCAGAAAGAACCAAAGGCTTACCTCAAAGCATTAGCTTATTGGAAGCCTGCGAGGACTGCCCCAGTCCCTAACTCCTCACCTGGTGTTCCTACATCCTATAAGTCATCTCAGCACCAACACTTGCCTCCTGCTGGTTTCCAGTTCCTGCATTTGTTTGGAAGCATTAATACTGGAGAAGTGTTTTTCTCCATAAGATTTAGGAAAGAGAACATGAGTTTAGCCTTCAGCTAGAGAAAGATGACTGCTTACTTAAGCCATTCTTTCTAATTTTAGGAATAATTTTAAAACTCTTTGTTCATCTTGAGATAGCATCAGTCAAGAGCAAGTGACATGTTTCCTCTTCTCTTAAACTTTCTCAGAGCCCATCCTTTTCCATTTCGGCCATAAAAATTCTCACAACCCTCCAGGTAAGGATCTTTCCATTTGTTCACTATTGTACTCCCAGAGCCTGACCTAGTGTCTACCCCATAGCTGTTCTATACATATTTTTTGGAAATTAACAAATTAATGAAAAAAATATGAAATTCACCAGGTAGCATGCAGCCAAAATATGGGTCTTCTGGGCAATAAACAGCCACGTGTCCTCCATACTGCCAGGACTCCACTGAGTTGAGAGCCACCAGAATGCCTGGAAAAACTGAGAACTGCCTTAGAAACAGAGCCAAGCAAAACTAATTAACAAAGAGGTTTGCAGAAAAGTTATTAACACTACAAAAAGAAGAGAATCCTTCCTGGATGAGAATATTAGCATTGCAGAGAGATAGCAAAAAGATGCAAGAGATAAATTGCTTATTGGGGAGGATAATAGCAATCGGGACATATAAGAGTGAAGATGGCTGCTGATGGCTGTAGGCAACAGAAATAGGAACTCAAGCTGGCTTAAATAATCTGATAATATATTTTCTGACATAATTGGTAATCCAGGGTAGGTAGGCTTTTGGGTTGGGTAATTCAGAAGCTCAAAATGTCATCACGGGTCCATGTTCCCTCCAACCCTTGGCTTTGCAGAATCCTCACTATCAGTATGAACTCTGAATGGCAGCACCATGACTGAGGCAACTGTCAAGTCTAGATTATAATGCCCACAGGAAAAAGAGAGACAAACGCTCACTGTGGCTCTCTCTATTTTATTTATATATGTGCCGTTCATTTATTTTTGAAGAATCCATGCTCTTTATTACTATTAAGGAGGCTTGTAATCCCCTGACTATAGTTTTCCCACTGAACTGGAGCAAACATAATTCTTAGAGTCAGAGTCTGCAGCTCTTCTTTACCAGCAATGAAACTTTTCCAAGAAGCTCTCAGAGTCTTTTCCCCTCACATCCCATTGATTGGATTCCACATCTTTTCCTAACACATTCCTCATAAAGCAAATGGATACCCCCCCCAAAAAAAAAGTATATCCCCTTGCTGCTCTTATAGGGGTGATCAGCTTAGACTAAAGCCTATGGCTGCATGGGGAGGGGTGAATACCTAAAAAAAAGTTATGCTAGAGAGAAGAAAAGGGAACTGCTGTGTCAGCAACCATTAGTACTCCAGAGTGACAGCATCAATGATTAATTAGCAACCTGGGTTAGCTCTCTGACATGTGAAGATTATAGCAATTCCCAAAGAGGTATCTCACACAGGCAAGGTACTTACTTTATAGAAATCTTTCCAAATCTCTGAAGTAGATAATTACTATTATCCCATCTTTTCAGATAAGGAAACCAAGGTTCAACTGGCTGACGTACTGAGTTATACAGTCAGGAAGTGGCAGCTGCATATGGAGAGTCAAATATTTAGTGAAAATGTGTCTGGTTCCCTGAAATAAAAATTCCGAGTCACAGAGTTTCGTAAGAAAACTTCCAAGCAAATACCCGATACCCTATGAAGCCATACGTTAAATGTATTTCATTGATCATAATAACATTGTTTTTATGGTACATCATTTATTCATTTAGGTATTCATTTATTCAACGGCTTATTATGTGAAAGACAAATTGCCAAGTACTTGGGACTAAAAAGAAGAAAAAATTCCACCTCTGTGAGAAGTCCTGAGTTCACACACCAGGCAAGAGTAAAAGGTTAAGTGTCGACCATATTTCCTAATCCTAAAATGTCATCAATTGGAAAACATGCAAATCACACTGAGAAAGGAAAGGGGAGGGAAAATGCAACTTTTTTTTTTTTTTGCGGTACGCGGGCCTCTCACTGTTGTGGCCTCTCCCGTTGCGGAGCACAGGCTCCGGACGCTCAGGCTCCACGACCATGGCTCACGGGCCCAGCTGCTCCGTGGCATGTGGGATCCTCCCGGACCGGGGCACGAACCCGTGTCCCCTGCATCGGCAGGCGGACTCTCAACCACTGCACCACCAGGGAAGCCCGAAAATGCAACTTTAAAGGCACATATTGATTATAAACTACATATAAGTTTCAAAATGGTTCTAACCTGGGGAAAGACTGTCAGAAGAGGAGAGATCTGCCAACCACAGCACAGGTTCTATAATAAGGTAGACACACAATGCCTTATGCAGGCACAAAATGAGCAAGCAATTCGTTCTCCAAGGAGGGCATGGGGGTGATGTGATAGAGAAGGTAACCTTTTAAATACGAGCACTAGAAAATGAGTTGAGCTTTCCAGATAGAGAGAATCCAGAAAGAAAAAGCAACACAATAAGACATTGGGTGGGAAGCAAGAGTGCCTTCAGGGAAGAATCTTCCTCATGAAGGCAAGAGAGAAAGAAGCAGCGAGATAAAGAGAGAGAGAGAGATAGACTAAGAGACAGAGACAGAGAGAGAGCTGGGTACACATACAATCCAGTGCTTTCCAGAATGAAACATTCAGCTTCCCAATTATTCTTTGAGCTGCTGGAGCCCGATTCCTCAGGATGAGAGTCCTTAGCCCCCCACTTCCTGGTCTGACCCTGTAGCGTCTCTTTCCTGAGCCTCAGCCACATACTCTGTAAAAGTGGCAAAGTCTCCATGCCTACTTCTCAGGACGAGATCTCAGGATTTACCTCCAGGCTACCCAGGAGGTACAGAGCTCCAAGCCTGGAGTGTGGCAAGCATCCAGTAAAGGGTGGCAGGCCAAGAAAAATGAGAAAGAGATTCCATTCTTCAGGCTTGACACTCAAAGAAACACCTCACTCAAGTGTGCCAGACACGCCCCTTCAGGGAGACAAGGTGGTTTAGACAGAGAGACTGTGACCCCAAATGTAGACACAGTCCAGTGCACCTCATTTCTGCAACCACTCCCGGAAAAAATACAGGAGTGAGTTTGGGGAAGAGCAGAGTGGAGACGACAGAGAAAGAGGGTTATAAGCTGTATCTGCCGGGGATTCCTGGACGTGGTGGAGGAGGGGTGTCAAGAGCACCTCGCCTGAGGTGTGGGTGATTTCACAATAAGGAGAATGGCATTCCCGTTTCATTTGAAGATGGCTGAAAACGGGAGCTTTACAAATTAATCCCCCTCAGTGGAGTGTGAGGGAACCAGATTGAGGTGTTTCTTGTCAAAAGAAGGGATCCCACCCCATTCCTTGTGCTCTGGTGGCACTGAAGGGCACTCAGTATGATTCTGGGCCACTGAATGGAGAGGCACAGAGGCCGGCAGAGGCATCATGCTGGTACACTGCTCTGGACAGCAGTCCAGAAAGTGGGCACTTGGGCTGGCAGAGCCCAAAGGGGGAAGTGACAGCCCCTCCTCCCCAGGAAGCAGAAATAAAGCTGAATGCTAATGGAGCATGGGTGGGGATGGGGGCGTGTGTGCCCTACATAATCCAAGACCACCATTCCAGCTATGAATCCCAACATTAAACCAGCCCAGATGGGGACAGTGTACGCCTTCCAGTCCCCCTGCACTTGCTGCCACCAGCCTTGAACAACTCCCACAGTGGGGACCAACCCAGTGATGACACGGAAAGTAGTCGCCAGCAGAAACTCAGGAAAGGAAACATCCAGGCAGACCTCTTTCCCACTAACTCAGATGCCATCCCAAGGAGGAGGAGAAGAGGAATTTCACTGAATATCAACCCCAAGGACACTAAGGTTTAAACCAGAAGAACTTTGGGATTATGTCTTCTGCCATGTTTAGTCTGTTCAGGCTGCTGTAACTGAATACCATAGACTGAGTAACTTATAAATAATGAACATTTATTTCTCACAGTTCTGGAGGCTGGGAAGTCCAAGATCAAAGGTGCCGATAGATCCAGTGCCTGGCAAAGGCCAACTTCCTGGCTTGTAGAAGGCTGTCTTCTTGTATCTTCACATGGCGGAGAGCAGAGAGTAAACAAGCAAGCTGTCCTGTCTCATAAGGGCACTAGTTGCATTCTTAAGGGCTCCACACTCATGACCTAATCACTTCCCAAAGGTCCCACCTCCTAACATCATCCCATTAGGGATGATGGGTTAGGGTTTCAACCTATGATTTCAGGGGACATAAACTTTCAGTTCGTAATATGTTATATATGTTAAGAGACCAAGGAAGGATTCATGAGCTAGAGTGAGTTCAATCACAGGAAACCCAAGTTTTGTGCACTCTAATTTTTCCCAGGAGTTGAGAAAATTTCAGCAGTACCAGCTAACATTATTGAACCCTTAATTTTGGCAGGCATTAGGTTTCACATTTACGTGGATTGCCAATTTAATACTCCTAAGTAGATAGCTGCTACTGTTATTTCTATTTCACAGATGAGAAAACTGACATAAAAATCCTGTTCTTACTGTATGTATTGAGTAGAGACAATAGCTAAAGGAGTAACAAGCTATTTTATCCTGTCTCTTGAATGAAGCAGCAAATATCACCATCACGAGGGAGGAGTACAAACACCACCTAACACCCCTGGAAACACTAGAAAAGCATGTGTGTCCCCTGCCCACAGGGTTTCCTCTTCTACATCAGATGAGAAGGACAGCGATCTCCCAGGCAAACTTGTGATTCAGGTTCAGCCAGCGCCTCTTTCTCCTTCGCGGTGGAAAGTCCTCCTCTCTAATGTCTACTCTGGATCCCAGCTTCTAGGCTGACCGGCCTTGTAATCTTACGTCCATGTAAACTGAGTAAGTTAACTCCTCTGTGCCTCCATTTCCACGTGTGTACCAGAAGGCAAACAATGCCAACATGTCAGTATCTTAACAATGACGGGGAACAAGTTATGGACCACGCTTCACATAACACCTAGCGCAGTGGCTATTATCTTCTCCATCCCCATAGCCTCACTCGCAGCTACCTGTTTAGTTAGAAAGCCAACTTCCCCTCTCTGACGCATATAAGGTATAGGCAAGTACTTAAATGTTTTCCCCTCCCCGGGCGTTTTACTAGCAGCATCTTGAAAATCAAAGCACCTTTAAAGACACAAAAGAATCCATTTCTAATAGAAAGACTTAAAATTTCCCACCATGATGGGTTATTATTAAGATTTTCCTGATTAAGATTTTCCATGGGTCAAATCCTCCTCCTAAAACAATGAAAACAGCATTTTAACTTTTTATTTATTTCCAACCTGTCTCTTTTCAGAAAAGATGTGAGATTGTCAAGAACTGAAGTCAATATATTTTGTGAAATATCAATTATTAAAAAAAGAAACTGAAAATCAGAAATCAGGACAGGAGATGGAATCAACTTGTTCTCCCAAAAGATCATCCAAAGCTATGGCCCTAAAAACATCAGACATTGATCTGTGTCTTATCAGCTAAAGCAAAGTATGTGCATTGTTTCTCAAAATTTATACCTTTAAAGCATCTTCACATACATGTTTTATTTGGTCCTCTCAACAATCCAGTGAAGAAGAGATTACACTCCCCATTTTACAGATAAGAAAACTGAGGTCTTGGAAAACAAAACCATCAGACCCAGATGTCTTAAATCATTGTTCAATGCTCTTCTGTTACACCACAGCCCCCTACTTCCCAGGACGGGATAGAATTTTGAAGCAGAAAAGGACTTTAAAGATTATCTAGTCCAGCTCTTAGAGAGCTATTTTGAATAATGCATGTATGTCAATACTCACATGAACAGTATTAAATTTAATAAAATAATACTGAATTTTATGATTATCTGTGGCACACGCTTGACAACACACCTGGCCACTTTCTTCTGGGTTTGAGATGGGCTTTTTTTATGATACAGAAGTAACTAGAAGGTCAAATTATGTATATGGGCATAATCCAGGTCCCTTTGGTTTTCTCATTTTGGGCATCAAGGGTCTAACAAGATTCACATCATTATCCCTAAGTCATGAATCAGGCATGTTTTAAAAACTCTCCATGGGTAAACAATGCTTTGCAACATCACCTTCCAGAAGCACTTCTCCTCCAGTCATGATTAGCCTTTTCTAAAGATTCCGCTCAGCTAGGATTTTTAGTGTTTTTTAATTGCATATTTTATGATATTTTAATTTTATGTTTATTCATTATTAATCATCTTTATTATATTTTAATTGTCAATGCAGCATCCTGAGGAGGGAGAGGGGATACTTCACAAATAAGAATATTAATTTGTTTGCCTTAAAATAATAATTAAGATTTTAATAAAATTACTTCTCTTAATAGGTCTCTGTGGAATGTTAATTCCCCACCCTTTAATGAACTAATGAGATACCACGTGAATTTCATTAAGCACTGTGCTCACTTCCAACCAAGAAATTTTAAGCAAAAATTGTAAACCTTCAAAATATTTACCTAAAGGCAACTTGCTGATTCCCTCTAAAAGGCGATCTAAGAGCAACATACAGAGAATAAAATCTAAATGTATCCTCTCTCATTCTGGCATCTGTTTGGAGGGTG